GTCTCTGTACACAGAGAGCTGTTACCCTTCCCTTTATAGTTATGACAATCAGTTACTGTAAAGTAACCATTCTTTCTTCTTTGAGTGTCTGTATGTGCATATCCCAATCCTGGTCATGGGCTAGCAGTTAAGTTCCCATCTCCTGCTTCCTAGAGGAGTTATCTAAATAATGATTGCAGTATACTCCAACCAAATTTGGCATCAGATCTGACACCAGACATCAATGAATAGTGGCTGGTGAATATATGAACTGAGCTCCAAGTAGTTGCCCAACAGATCTCAGCTATGGGAGCACTACTAAAATAAGCTGCCGAGGTTGCCTATGCTCTGGTAGAATGATATCTAACATAAGACAGAGAAGTCAACTTGCTAATGTTACAGGCTGTTCTAATAAAGTTTGATAACTATTTAAAAAATCTTTGAGATGAGAGTTCTTCCTTTAGATTTGCTTCCATGTGCCACAAATAATCTTGTTGGTTTACAAAAGAGTTTCGTGTGTAGGTAATAGCTCTTTTTTTCATCTAGGGTGTGTAATCTTGTCTCACCTGGAGATGAATGAGGTTTCAGAAAGAACACTGGTAAATGTTTCTAATGGTTGGTCTGAAAGTCTGAGACTACTTTTGGAATAAATTTGGGTACCTGTTGTCAGTACTGTAGATGCTGATGTGAGAGATGGTATCATAATCATGCCTACTGACAGCTATTCAGAAGAGAATGGTTTTGGGGCTGATGTTAAGGGTGGTACTGGCTTTGCTACAGACCTAGCAGAGTCATCTAAAATAACAACTCTGGATTCCTCTTACCCAGTACCAGAGATGGGGAGCAATGCTCCTTTCTCCCACAGACAGCAGTGGTAACTGACTCCTTTGAGGTGTCTGAGATGAAGTCTTTGAGCTCTTAGCTGATAAACGAGCTGTCTTTGATCCCTGGAAACCCTGAGACATTTATTGAGGATAAAGCACCGAGTGAGAGTTGGAAGAAGTATCAGGAACTTCTTCCCTCAGGACAACTTCTGAAACAAATGCTCCCCTTATCAACTTCATCTGGAAAAGATTTAAGAGCCTGGCTATTTGGTTGCATTTTGAAAAATGATTTACACACGTTTTGTAATGATATGACCTTCCCCTATACAAGACATACTTAATGTGCCCATCATTCAAAAAAATTACTGCATCTCATGATGGGAAGGTTTTCCAAATTGGAGCCTTTGGGCCAGCCATTAGGCTCAGAGCCCCAATACTAGGACTAAATAAGCTTAACTTTTTGTGTTGTTTGCCAACAGGCTACGGCCCAGTATACACTACAAAGTTAGGTCAACACAAGTTGTCTTGCATTGACCTAACTGTGCATGTGTCTACACTCAAATTTGTCTCCCACTGACTTAAGTGCCTGGTTATGATGACACAGTAACACAACCTCTCTGAACAGTGTTGAGCCATGGTCGACCTACTGTGATTGGCACTGTGCGAGTATAGACACCACGTGACCGATGCCGACCCTAACAGTCCTCCAGCAACTTTCTCACAATGGCTGACTGATTGTGCTGGCCACAACTGTGAACACCACTGCCCAGGAGTCATGGAGACCGAAAGCCATACTCCCCTTCAAAAATCCTGGAGATTTTTGAAATGCCTTTTCCTCATTGACCAGCTTGACAAGTTGTGACGGTGCTGCCTGTGGGAGCCCGCTGAGGTCACTCAATTAGGGTGAACTGCAAACAAAACGGGGCAGACAAACCCCAAACGCTGGTGGATATTCCAATACTTAGATTTACCAAGCCAGCACAGAACAGCTTCTATAGTACCTCACTGGTTACTTAGAAGTCCAAACAACGCAGTTCCCTTAAAGTACCCAGCCTCAGGCCTCCGTCCAGACACACCTGTCAAACATATGATGATGATTACTGAAAATCTTATCTCATCATATAAAAGAAAAGGTTCTTCCAATCCCAAAGGATCAGCCACATACCCAGGTCCAATTACAACTTAGATCTTACCCAAAATACACGCTTCTAGCCAATTCTTATTAACTAAGCTAAAATTTATTTAAAAAGAAAAGAGAGAGAGTGTTGGTTAAAAGATCAATATACATACAGACTTGAATTCAATTCTTGAGGTTCAGATACATATGAGAGATGAGTTTGTAGTTGCCAAAAGTCCTTTTAGATATAGTCTATAGGTTATAGTCCAATGTCCATATTGAGGGTGGCTCCAGTCAATGACTGGGGATCTCAATCCTTGTGGCTTAAGGTTTCCCCCTCTTGAAACCCAAAGCAGATCTGAGATGAAGTAGGATCATGTCCCAGGGTTCTTATACATTTCCAGCAGCCTTTCTGCCTGAGAAAACAATAGGCCTAACTCTCCTTCTTCCAAACATCCTGGCAATTAGCACAGGGTAATTTATCCATTAAACAGTTCAGATACAGGTTACCTCAACCTTCAAAGAGACATATAGACAATAATACTATTTCACTTAAGTATCATCATAAATGTTAATATTCCTTTTTTGTTCTTTGAATTAAAGTTATAGCAATAGACAAGACTTGTTTGCTTACATCACAAGACCTGAGCAAACATCTACCCTTGAGATCTCTAACAATGCAGACTTGCATTTCAAAGCTCTATTCATTTACATATCTTCCTAACCAGTCCTTAAGGTTCACCCGTGGGTCACTGAGTTAATTAACTCTTTCTGGCCCTGTCACCTTCCAATGAAATATTATATTACACTCATAACGTCACACAAGTACACCTAGCTGTTCTCCCTTGTGTGTAGCTACCCAACCAACCATGACAGTGCTTCTGCCTGGAATGGACAGGAGGTATTGGATCTTCTGGGCCTGTGGGGAAAAGAGGCTGTGTAGGAACAGCTATGGAACAGTCGTAGAAACACGGACATCTATGAGCAGGTTGCACTGGGGATGTGTGCGAAAGGATAAGACAGGGATCAGCAGTAGTGAAAATGAAGGAATGGCCGCAGGCATACTAGGATCCCAGGGAGAACAACAGTTGATCTGGTGCTGAGCCACAGACCTACCACTTTTATAACTAGCTGCATGCTATATTTGCCAGAGACCCCACCAACACCTCTCAGATAACCATGGAACCCTTACTGTCAACAGTAAGGAAGAGGAGGATGGGGGGCATGTGATTTACGGGGGTTGGGGACACGTCAAGCTATGCTGCAAGCCAGGATCGGTTTGAGACTCCACCACAGTCTAGTCAGTCACACAGACAAGGATGGGCAAACCTGATGTAGGGGAAGGAACCTCAGATAAGTGTGTGAATTTGTTTCCCATTACAGTGTTTAAATGTACAGCTGGTGCCTGACCCCAGAGTAGCAGGACGCAGATATTGACTTTTCATGAATTTACTCCTACTAGAAGAGGTAGTGGTACGACAAACAGAGGTAGAGCCATTATCAGCTTTTCATTCCCCTGTAGGGTTGTGGGAGTGGGGAAAGAGACTTGTGGAGAAGTTTATGTACACAGAGATATCCCTTGAATCCTCCTGAGATCTTGATGAAACTTTCATGGAGGTACTCTGCAATCATCTCTCAAAGGTTTCTAGGAATGGCAGCATTACTTTTCTTTGCAGTAGGACACTTTCCCATGCCAGTCTACGATGACTTTGACAAGCACCATTGCAGTAAACTGGCTAGCAGCATGCGGGCCTGGGAGGCTTTGGGATGCTATACAGTCTGTGCCTTTATCTCTCTTCTGAGGGTATCAGCTAAAATCACCACTGCCTGTGGAAAAGAGTGGCAGTGCTCAGCGCCATTGCCCTGAATATATGCTCATGGAAAGAAGGACCAAATGTTATTGTTTTGTGCAACCAAATAATTCCCTCCTCATTTCCCTTTCCTCCCTGCAAACCTATGCTGGGCCATACTTGCCATCACCAGGGCTAGGGCTGGAAAGTGGTGCCAAAGTTGAAGTGTCCATAAGCATATCTTGTTTAAAACTTTAGGAAAGCAATGGAAGGGAATTCTGAAACTTAACTTTCACTTTCCATTGTGACTATATATACAATCATACCTCTGTATGTTTTAACTGCAGCTGCTGCCATTGCTGCCTCAGGGGTTGCCCCTGCACACCCGTGGAACACCTGGCCATGATAAGGAGGAGAAAGAACAGGACTCTGGTAGCTATATTCACTGAGATTCTGCAAGCCTGGAGGGTGAATACTGCAGACATTATGGAGAAGGAAAGAGGGGACAAGAAAAAGGCCCAGCAGGAAAAGGAGAGAGATATGCACTAGGACATAATGGGGATCCAGGGCTGGTGTAACCACTAGGTGAACTAGGCGGCCGCCTAGGGCACCAAGATTTGGGAGTGCCAAAAAGCGGTGCCCCAAATTTTTTTTTTACACTATTGCTGGAAAACGAATTAATAAAGAAAAGAGAAATGTCGTTGAACTTGCATTTTAACTTGTCGTTCTTCTCTCGTGCATTACAGCTATAGCCTACGCTAGCTCTGCGTTGCAGGCACAAGCGTACTGCTTCACTATGGTACAAAGTGGCAATGACGTAGTTTTTCTCACCGCGTGCAGCCGCTACCCGTTCTGACAGGCTGTTTATAATGCTAAGTTTACTAGTTTTCGGAGGTTGTCAACTGAGGCTAACTATTTTTGTTGAGTTATTTCAGATCTA